ATGTTTCCGCCCGGTCTCGAACCGGGGACCTTTCGCGTGTTAGGCGAACGTGATAACCACTACACTACGGAAACTCATAATGAACTGAAAGCTTGTGGTGATTTTTTTCCTTTTTCACAATTGAAAATATTTATCTTAAAAGTGCCAAAAATTAGAGATGTTTCCGCCCGGTCTCGAACCGGGGACCTTTCGCGTGTGAGGCGAACGTGATAACCACTACACTACGGAAACTCATAATGAACTGAAAGCTTGTGGCGTTTTTTTTTTCACAATTGACAATATTTATCTTAAAAGTGCCAAAAATAAGAATTGTTTCCGCCCGGTTTCGAACCGGGGACCTTTCGCGTGTGAGGCGAACGTGATAACCACTACACATTTTATAATAAAATAAAACGATACAGTTAAAAGGTGAATACAGAGCTGTTTGTCTGTTGGAACTACAGGTATAATTTATATACATCATATATTGCATAATGTGTGAAATGTGTTATCTTAATTATGTTAATTTCTGAAGTAACATTTTAAATAATACCAGAAAACAAGTATCTCTTTTTTTTGTTTTATTTTGACATTTTACAAAAAATGCTTCTTTAGTCGAAGAGACCGAAGCCCATGTCATCATCAGATTCCTCTGATTCTTCCTTCTTCTCCTCTTTCTTTTCCTCCTCCTTAGCTGTAGGGACAAAGGTGATAGTGCATCAGTGACAAATTAAAAGAATCAGGATTAAACGCTACATTGCACTGGACCTTTAATTTGGATGTACAAAAAGGGTTGAAGAATATTAATTGCAAAGTACCTGGGGCGTCTCCACCAGCAGCAGCAGCTCCACCAGCAGCAGGAGCACCAGCGGGAGCTGCACCTCCGGCACCAACGTTGCAGATCAGTGTGCCAATGTCGATGGAGGACAGAGCCTAAGATGTATCCAAGTGAAATGAGGTTAGAGGAAATCAGCAAATAAATCACAAAACATTCAAAGGTAAAGACAGCTGATTACAACTATTTTTATTTTCTGTACCAAGAAATGCAGGGGACCAAAACACTATATGCTATATACAATTATAATATATAAGGAACATTTAAAATCTCTGTTAGGATTTGATTGTCAGTGAACTTCAGTGTAACAGTGCATTTATAACTTCATCTGCTTTTTTTTTTTTAAATGGCCAATGGATTATTACTCTCATCCCAATTGTGTAGTGTTATTCCAACTGGTGAAACGTGACAACAACTCAAACACAAAGTCAATAGATATAACCACTGGATTTGATTTGTTTTCTATCTCCAAATGTTAAACCATGTCATAAAAATACAACAACATTTCTTTTCATTTCCTTTAAGAAAATCATAGCAGCTCAGCAATGTGATATGCAACTGCCCATATCTCACCTTGGCAAACAGACTGGGCCAGAAGGGTTCAACAGTGACTCCAGCAGCCTTGATCAGGGCATTCAGCTTGTCCTCCTGCAAAGGTAAGAAACAAGTTTGTGTTTTATTTCAGAGTTCACCTCCCCCACATTTACTCTAGCCAGTATCATCATCAACTTTCAAACTTGTATTTTTAATTATTGCTTGTTCACTTAGTGTTTATATTTGTAGCTCAGATGGTTATGGTTGAGAACGATTTACCATGGTCTTTTGATAATTTTCTTCTTCTTCTTCTTTCGGCTTTTGATAATGTACTTAAATAATGGTGTTATACAACATCTGCTGTTATGACTAAGCATAGACTTTGTAGTCCATTGACAAGCTTAACGGAAATAAAAATGACAGAATACCATGTGCTGGTACACTTAAGCCATTTTTAGGTTTTTGTGTCATACTATACTATTTTCTACCTATATTTAATTTATCTGACTAGCAAACTTAACAGGAATTAGTCGGCATCTGACAGCACATAGGAATTATTTTCATTTTCACAGTCTTTGGGATGATTTGCTGCCTCCACGTGTATCTGCTGGTAGACTTGAATGCAGGAAACGAACAACTTAAGTTAAACTTAACTTAAACATGGTTGATAACAACCCAAATTCACAAACTGTCCAGTCTTACTGCGAGTAACGTGTTGGAACTTTATAACATGTGCGCCGCCATTTTAGCCGGTTGAGAAATGTATTTGGACAGCGGAACATTTAATACCTTAAATTATTCACAAAGAATAATAATTTAAATTTATGTTTAGGCCCTTAATATCTTAACGCGTGATTCAAACGATTTAGCTATTATCATTTGTTTGGTTACAGGAGATGTGTAGTTAGATCTGTTAGGGTCAGGCTGGGAACACTTACGGTGACGGTGACATCATCGTCATGGAGGATCAGAGCGGAGTAAATGCAGGCGAGCTCGGACACGGAGGCCATTTTAGATGTTAGATTTTATATTTGTAGCGTTGGATGCCTAAATTTAGTGGTGCTAGTCGCCGGATTGCGGGCCTTAGCTTCGGATGAAGAACCAAGCACCTTAGGCACGTTTACTTCCTACAACGGAAAAGGAAGAGGAAAGGGCGGGATCTAAGAATATGTACTTTGCGTAAGATGGCGTGCCTCTGACGTCAGTCCGCAAACTCACGTCGTTGCAAACGTAGCAGTTGGCCAAGAGAGCCAAAACAAGGAAATGTCGGGCTCACGTCTGCTCCTTTTGCAGTTTAATGTAATATCAGAAACATTACATGTTACACGTTTATTTAATATATAAGAGAGAGTTTAGAAGGTCCGTATGTATAAAACAATATGATTAAAATGTCTTCAAAGACTATATTGGTGACATACACACACCTTTGTATGATACAGAGAAGCAGTACTGGACACAACAACTTCTACTGCAACTTTATTTTTTCTTAATTATGAAACAAAAACATTACTTTAAGCAAATTCATTTTAGAGGCAAATTTTCTAAATTAGTTCTCCCAACTGCATTCATGAGGGGATTCATCTGTGCTGTACCATGGCACAGTTGTGGTACAGTATAATTCATGAGGGGATTCATCTGTGCTGTATTACCATGGCACAGTTGTGGTACAGTATGATTCAATGGGAGTTAAATGAAAATGTGACTGTATAAAACATAATGTTGTAATACTTTCCACAAGCCTCAACCACCGCTGAACAAACAAAGCAACAACTTAACAGAACATTCTGAAATTTGGCACCAACAGATTTCCTTGGCTCTGATGAATAAAAAAATACTTGAGCAGGTAGAATGACCAAACCAGAATGGGTAGAAAAGGATTCTACAGTATTTAAAATCAGTACCATAGAGCATGTGGATACAGTAGAAAGATAATTCAACAGTTTAAAGATTCTGGAATGTTTGGGTAATTTGGTCACATTGTTACATAACGTTCACAAAAAATAACAACATTCAAATTACATGTATGCTATTTTACTCATGTGTCATATTTGTTCCTTTTTCAAACAACACATCAGTGTCGCAGCTTTCATTTCTCTTACTGCTATTTATATAAGCATTTTTCAAATTACTGATTTAAGTTAGAAAATTGCTTTTTTGAATGTATTTTCTTTTTATCCTGGTATTAGTCGTCAAAACCTTTTTTTATTTAACCACTGAGTGTCTAGAAACAAGGTATTTGATTCTGAAAATGGAGTTAAAGACAGTTATGTCAAGGTGTAATTTGTTTTGTTTGGGTGACTATTAAGGGCAAAGAGTTAAACATTTTTCACATCTTAGATTTTGAAAAAACACATCTACTTTTCAATAAGCTAATAATAAAAAAAAAACCCAAGTTGCCTTCAATTGCTTGACAATTGTTACGATGACATTATGATCAGAGACACATTAAACCTAAAACATTAAACTTCTTATCACCCAGTGTTAATTTTGGATATATCTATGCATGTGCAAACACATTTTAAATTACAGATATAGTTTTAGTAATCTTGACAGCAGCTTTACAATGACTTGATAAATTATGCTTCACTGATCGACTGGACAAGACAACTTGAGCATTAGATGTCAAACAAAAAAACATATTTGCCTGAGGTAAAACCGTGAAAGAAAGATTTGAAAAATTGTATTATTCCCTTCATCGTTTAGCAACAAAATTGTGATGGTTTAACATTGACTGTACACTGGGTCTCTTTTCTGCTGCTTTGAATGTAACAAAAAAACTCAACCAGAAAAGCAAGAAAAATGAAAAGCGCTGTGACCGGTATGGATTTTATGGCCAAAACACAGCTTTGATGTTTCTTGAACAGCGATGAGTTACACACAGAGCTTAATGATACTTCTTTTCCTCATTTGTTGCAAAACAAAACAAAAATACAAAAATAAAAAATACAGAAAAGCTGAGGGCATTTTTTATCCTGCCTTGTACCACCCAAGTGTGTTTATGTACTTAAATCATTAAACCAAGTTGGTTCATTTTGGATTAATGGAGACCAGTGGACCAGTGGAAATGGCAGGCACCAGATGAAAAAACAAAATAAAAACATCTGTCTTCCCTTTTTAGTCCCTGTGAGATTTCCCTTTAGGCTCCTCATCATAAGAAACACCATATTCATTTACCCTTGTTTTGTCAACTGGGTAGAGCCTGTGAAGAGATCAAGAAGCAGAGACTTAGAAAAAGTGTCTGGCAGCTTATCAAATAATTACGTATAAAATGTGTTCAACCTTCAACACCAAATTGGCAATTTTTATTATTCTACCACTAAATACAATTCATTAAGAGCTGCACAAAAACTTCAGCCATGTTACAGAATTGTACAGAAATTCACAAACTATTTTATTCTTTTTATTTCATACAATGCAAAACTTTGTTTTTTAAGGTTCCCATTTAGTCTGGAAATGTTGTTTTATAAATAGCATAACTGGGAAAGGCACTGTAAATAGGTATTCCTACAAAGAAAGCTTGAAGCACAGCTACATCTCTGGTATGTGTGTGTCTGTACGTACCATCTCTGGTAAAGGTAAATGAGAAACACCACATCATCTCTGAAACATGCCAGTCTGTGAGATGTTGGCATGGTGATGATGAAGGCAAACACGTCATCAATGAAGGTATTGAAGGCCTGAGTAACAGACAATTTGCATCAGTTAGAATTAAAACAATGTTTTGAAAATTAATTTTAGACTTTAGCTTAGTCACTGATAAAAAGTGTTTTCTTCTCACCTTGTACATGAAGGCCTTCCAGGGCAGGTGGGCCACGGATTTCAGCTATTCATGTGACAAATGATAGTTATCATATAGTGTAATTTAATGTTTTTCTATGTTATTATTTGATTTATTCTCATTGAATATTAAACATAACTCAGGCTATGTGAGTAAACAAACCTTATAGTTGACAAAGAGTTGAGGAAGCATGAAGAGGAAGCCAAAGGCGTACACTCCTGTATGTGGTAGAACATCTTTGTTAGGTATTTTTTAGAATTAAATCACACAAAAAAGGGAAAAAAGTCTTTTAGTTACCGTTTACTAAACTGTTGATCAACCAGGAGTACCAGCTGGGATGAGGACATAGAGATGGACAATTAATACTCAAACCCCTTCAATCCCCCATAAACAATAAATGTTTTCAGTAACAATACAAAACCTGAGCTTGTTATTCATACATCGCACCTTTTGTATCGTAGAAATATTAGAGCATACACAGCCCCTCCTATACAGAGTGGGTACAGGAGGTAAGACAGATACTTCATGGCCTACGGGAAAAACACAAGGCATGTAATACATGGTTATTTGATGGTTTTATATAAACCACTCAGGTAAATACACATACTGTTTATCTCAGCAGTACAAAAAAAAGTGTGACTGAATGAGTGTGAGTGACTCACCAGAGTGTCATACTCCTCTGTTCTCTTTTCTGATTCATCTAATTTCCCAAACTGTTAACAAAAAAGATGCACAGTTAATTTTAAACTTACCATACCATTCATCGTAACACTCATACATCACTTCTACACATTTCAAACTCTTACCAGGATTGATGGTTTTCCTCCTTTCCAGAAAACTTGAATTTTAAAGGCCTTCTTCACCTTCCATACCTGAATAAGTTAGGAAAAAATACAATGGATATTCTTTAAACACAACATTTTAGTTATTTTAATGCTATGTCATATGCTACTGTATATATAGATTGTTTTTAGAAACAACAAGACGAATATTCACTATAATTGGACATACAACCTAAATTATTTGAAGAAAAAAAACATGCAATGCAACAATGTATTGCATTTTAGAAAAAAATTCCTATCAACAACCATTTAAGCATATCATACCAGAATGCTGGGATTAGTTTTGTTATGACGTAAATGTAAAGCATAAAAAATGACATATGTATCTCATTTTCACATTTTGACAATTTGTACTTGCTTCAATGATGGTGCCGATTCCAGCAGGTATGAGGACCAACAGGCTGGTGAGCTCGTCAAACAAATACAGGAAAATCACAATGGTGCTGAAACATCTCCACAATACTGAAGAAAAGAAGAACAAATTATGACTTGTGTTACTATAGAAGATGAATCGACAGAGGAATCCTGATGTTTAGTCAAGTTGAAATTAAACAGTGCCACAGCAGCAGAACAGTGTGTGTGTTACTATTGACAACTGGTGCTACCAGTGGTAATTAATTGCATCTTGATGAACTTATATTTGATATGCCATTGTTTTCATTAACATTTCATCTATTCCCATTGTGTTCCTAATTGTTTCAGGATTTTAATGTTTCTGCAGCTCAGGGAGCAAAAACCCACCTGCTTTGCTTGACATTCCCACCATGCTTGTCTTCTGCTTCCAGAAGCTGATGTCGTTCTTGAAAGCCAGGAAGTCAAAGAGAAGCTGTAAAGAAAAAAAGAGGTATTTAGATTTTATTTCCTAGTGTAGTCAACTAGTTAATATATTTTTTTTTAAATGCACAAAGAACTAAATCCTCTTAAACTAGACAGAGACACGTCACAGAATCGTTTTATTTTATTCCCTTACATGGAAGGCAGCTACAAAGAAGGTCAGTGCCAAGAAGTAGAGGTTGGTATCCACGAAGATCCCTTTGATCTCATCAGCATCCTTCTCTGTGAAACCTGTGACACAAACAAAGGAATAGTGAGAGAGTGACAAGGAGACAAGAAGACAGAGGGCAGAACTCAAGAGAGCTGCATACCAAACTGCTGTAGGGAGAAAACGGCATCCTGCATGTGGATCCAGAACCGTAGCCTCCCCAGAGAGATGGCGTCGTAGGTGATGGTGAGAGAACGTTCCGTGGTTGTACTGTTGATCTCCTAAACACAGACAGAATCAGTCAGATCATCAGTGATCCTTGAGTCATCCTCCTGAATCAAACCCATGATCACAGGGGAAATCAGTCCAACCTTAATTCAAAGTGATGACATTGCTACAATGAATATAGCTAATAAACACTTCACAAGTGTGGTTGAAGTATAGTATATATGCCATGAAATAAAGGCCAAAGAAATTAGCTAATTCCAAATCTGCTTTTGGGAAACTATCAAAATGTCAGATATTCAGTGTTGGGTAATATTTATTTTAAAAGTGAACTCTCACCACAAGGTCTTTGACCCGGTTGCTGAGCTCATCAACAAACAGCAGAGGTAGATACACCATTTTTTTACCATTTTGGAATCTGAAACGCAGACAAACCATTTGCCATGAGCATTGAAGTACTCAACATATTTTTTTTGTCATTAATTTATTTCAAATAGCTTACACTCTGAGGTATCTGTGGACATCACTTGGCAGGTATTCTCTGTCAAACAGGAAGTGGTCACTGACAATGTTCAATGTCAGTCTGGAGCGCCAGTGAGAAACTGGGTGATCTGAAGTGGGCGCTTCTCCAGTTGCAGCCCTGCCCCCTGCTGTCGGGTTACTATCACCGCGCTTATTCTTCATAACATTTTCTTTCTGACCCTGTAGCATAATATGTGATTGAAACAACATGGTGACATTTGTGGTTTAGCTACAGAGAATCTCATACTGATCAGGTAGTTACACTCACCAATGTTTGATCCTCCCCAGATATCAGGGAGATCTCCGGAGGTTTAGGGACCATATAGGTGGTGAGCTGAACCACTGAGTGGACCTGTTGTGGATCTTGCCAAGGAGATACGCCAGCTTGATGGACAAATACTAGTGCGTACAAAGTTCCGTTGTTACGTGTCTTCTTTGGAAGGGAGACATTGATCAACCTAGTGGAGGAAAAAGACAGGAAATATAAAATAATTAAAGATAATCCATCAGATAAAACAAGAGTATCATGCGATCCCACCAACCTTTCAAACTTGATGTTGACATCAAACTGCTCCTCTTTGTGAATCAAGGTTTGTCCTCCCTCTCCATTAGGCTTTAGTGCAGTGTAGACACTTAACTGGTGAACACAGTAGAAATAATAAATTCAATGACTTGGATAATTTCTACATGTATTCAGTTCATTATCATTTAACATACTAACATTCATGATCATTTAACATACTAACCTGTAGTTTTGGGTTTCCTGCCAGGAATGGTGTGATGCAGTTGTCACTTTTGGAACCATCGCACGGTTTGGTGTACACAATACCGTACATCACCCAGCAGGTGTGGAGAACGTACACTACAAACACCCCAACTATCAGGGTGGTGAACGATGTTTTAAGAAACATGATGCCTACTCCTCTTTCCTTTGGTTAGCTGAACAGCAGTGCCATATGTCTGTGAATGCAGCATCAGAGGATGTGAGTGTAAGATAGGGTTTATTAAGGACTGAAATAAGTCAGAGAAGAAAGAAATACAATTATTAGAGTTTGTTATTTTTGTCTGAAGAGCCTCTGAAAGACCCTCAGTAAATTGTCAATTTCCTAAGTCTGTGATCAATAACGTTTATCTAATATAGACTAATCTAAACGATCTTTTCAGCTTAGTTTTTTACTTAACTTAACATTCAGTAAAACAAAAAATGCAACCTAAGCACATTTGACAAAAACTAGTTCCTCTGGTTTTGTCCTGACTGTACAACAATAAGTGACTAAACAGAGGAAGAGCTGATGGACAGACGGTTCATTTCCACTACGTTTCTGTGCAGCTTTTGAAAGAGACACAATGAGGCAGGCTGTCAGATCTAAGAGCTGATGGACAGACGGTTCATTTCCACTACGTTTCTGTGCAGCTTTTGGTGCAGCTTTTGTGAGGCAGGCTGTCAGATCTATCTGTCACAGATCTACACGTTGGCCTGAGGTTACAGGAAAGTGACACAAGCTATTTGCTGCTGCTGCTGGTGGTAGTAAAAAATACCTTTCTGACTGATTATAATGGATTAAAGGGTGATCTGTACCTGTAAAACTCACAGAAACGCTTTTAATTTGTTAATATAGTTCAGTGTTTGAGAGTTTCAAATCAAAAACAAATGTTCCCCGCTCCGATTATGTGACACCTGCAGCCATAGCCTCAGAACAGAAAGACTTGTATACTAACTCTAATTCTTATTATACGAGTAAAGACGTTAAACATACCAGAGCTTGATCCACATCACATAGCTTGAATGACGGCTACCAGCCCATTCACTTTAACTTTTTGCGACAACGTCATTGCCTCAAATCTAAGTCAATATAAGCCATCATTACTAATTAACCCCATTCAGAAACAACAAACGTAAACACCTCTAGGCTGAAATAACCTAAGCTCAGAGCGTGAGGTGGCTCTCCTCTTCCGCCATCCACTTCCGGGTCCGTAACTTTATAAACGGGAACACGAAGAATCACGCGAGAACAGTTTCTGCAGCCTCTCCCTCTGTCATAATTTTGACATTAAAGGCACAAGTATCAAGTGTAATGGTCATATTCGCAACATATGCATAAAAGGTATCCCGACATGGCGTATGCCGCAGTGACCCGGACTCGAACCGTGATTGCTGCGGCCACAACGCAGAATAATAACCACTTTAAGAAGAAAAATTCGAGCTAGCCAGGAGTCGAACCTAGAATCTTCTGATCCGTAGTCAGACGCGTTATCCATTGCGCCACTAGCCCTATGAATGAGGAAGTTACTGTATAAAATTCATTATAGGAAAGTCGAACTCATTATAACGCAAATGTAAAGTATGCCCCAGTAGTGTGGAGATAAAGCACGGGCCGTGTCAGCCTTTCTGTGTCTGTCTGATCATATAGTCCTTCACTTAAAGGAGAGGGTGGAATTCATGCAATTCGTGACCGGTTTTAATCTATATTGTGATCGTCCTGTATGCTGATACGTGTCGGTAACGGTACATGTGAGGAACATGATATGCACTCCGCAAGGATAAGTGAATAATATTAAAAAAAAATTCGAGCTAGCCAGGAGTCGAACCTAGAATCTTCTGATCCGTAGTCAGACGCGTTATCCATTGCGCCACTAGCCCTATGGTGTTGTGCAATATATGTAGTTAGAAAAAAAAAAAAAAAGAATGACAGGCCATAATGTTGGCAGTGGCCCCAAAAAATGTTATCCACAAAGCCCATGGACTCCAAAAATAAAATAAATAATTATAATATTAATAATTTCCAGAATTATTTAGGGAAAATGCTGAATAATGTTATTTTTTTCAGAATGTTTTGAAAGATGAAATGTGTCGTATACTAAATATTTATTGTAAGTGTTTTTTTCATTTGCTGAAATTAGACTCTGAATTGATTGTAACGATTCAACGTTAGGGAAATTGTTTTGTCGCAGCAACACAGGGCACACAGGCAAAGACAGTACAATAAAAAAAGAAGAAACCTAAAGTCTAATAAATACCAATATAATAAATAAGGGCCACCATGGCATAATTCTGCCGTGACCCGGATTCGAACCGGGGTTGCTGCGGCCACAACGCAGAGTACTAACCACTATACGATCACGGCTGACGGTCATTGCAGCAAATTCGCGGAATTTGATTTAAAAAAAAAAAAAGAAACAAGTATGTGGTTAGTGCAGATTTACTCTTACACGTCAACAAAAAGCTGCAGCATGAACGGTGTGGTTTGAAAACGCTTAACTGTTCACACCTGTTCTTTCCCTGGCTGCTGTGCTGTGTTCTCCACAAGGTAAGTCGTGTTTTCCACATAGTAGAAATATCTTTGTTAAATGTGTTAAAATTTGGTCTTAGGGCACAATTACCTACAATTTGTTTTGTAATTAATAATAATAGTAAGTTAGTAGTTTTGTAAGATGATGCATTCGGTATTTATGTTGCAGTTAAAAACTAAAAGGTGCACGCTTGTTGTTGTGTAGGTTAAGTACTTGCTTGTCAAATAAATAAGTGTCACCCACGTCGGAATTCTGCCGTGACCCGGATTCGAACCGGGGTTGCTGCGGCCACAACGCAGAGTACTAACCACTATACGATCACGGCTGACCACCGGTGCGGTGATGAAGTTCTAAACTGCAGACATTCAATGATGGAGACTTAGACATGACTTATAGTGGTTGGAATCAATCATATTTATCTAAGCTTTTTAATCTAAGATTTATCTAAGATAATATTTAAGATAAAATGAAAAAAAAAAACAAAACTAAACGTCTTTCTTTAAAAAAGAAATTATTTTTATTAAACCTTAACCTAGGAAAATAAAAAGCCAAGTAACGGAATTACGTAACACGAGTTAAAAACACAAGGGCGCCATCTATTGACCAAAGTTGTACACTACAAGGAAGGCCTCGAAAACCATTGAATATTTAGTATATTTGTACGACACATATTTCATTTTGTACCTGTTCTTTATTGTAGAAAACAATGTTGAAAAGCCGCGACGTTATTACTCGTAATTCGAGCGCCCGAGTTTTGGTTAAAATATTTTATTATAATGTGTGTCACCGAGAAGAAGTGCATATCTCCACCTTAACACACTTTTATGGTCCAAAGGATGATTTAAGCAGCAGGCAACCCGTTCTCATGCACCCATTCTTAACAAATACATAAAGCGGAGCCACGGTGTGTTTATTATAGACCATCACAGAAATTACTGATTTCTGCCATAAAAAATGTTGTAAAATCGTTCCTGAAATCGTATGCATTGAAAACACGGCGTATAATATAGAACATGTTTTGTTATTACATACTTCAGTTCGGTTTGTTCATAGAACAGAGGACGGAAGAATGATAAACCTGTCAACACAGACTGGTGGAAAGTGCCCCGGATGTAAAATAGCTAAAACGCAACAAAACTACAAAGTATAGACCTCCAGAGAACAAAGCCATTTTAACCAGAGCTGGCTGTTATGCTTTGACAGATTTTGCAACCAGAGATTGCTAAAAAAATATGTCAATAGTTATCTACAGAGTTAAGTTCCATTTTGGAACACTTGATGAGTATAATAGCCTAGAAGTTGAGCTACTTTTATTAGCAATCAATAAAAAAAATCAAACTACTGTCCTTTAAAAATATGTATTTTACCATCATATAATCATATTACATGCCAATGTTGACTCATAAAAATAAACAATTGATGGTTCTGGGCCAAGTGCGACAGTTGACTTGTGGATCAGGACGTGGACACGTCTACAGTCACAGTGACATTTAACACTCACTGCCCATTTGTTCCTGAGTGACATTCATCTTACTTTAATTGTGAGTCATTGGTGTTTGATCTGAGGTCAGGTCCTCTCTGTCCTCTCACTGTGTCAGTGCTCCTCTCGTTGATGTTGACATTCACACTAAAGTGTCTCTCTGGTCATATAACGTAAACCCAGACTCATGCTTTTCATTGGAGCCGTTATGAAGTCTGCCGTCAGGTTTTTCTGTGAGGAATCTGCAGCAGTGATTTGAGAGCCATCATTGTGGAAGTGCTCTGTGGGCACATTTCCCAGCCCATGGTGGCTGTTATAAATCAGCTGCAGGACATTCTCACACTTCCAATATCAGCAGTGAACGACCCCAAGGTGTCTCTGCAGTGTCACTGACAGAGATGTGCCAAATGTACTGCACCTCCTCAAAACATTAATGCATTTACTCTAATGATTCTGAGCATAAACATATAGATGGGATTAGTCAGTGATATTATCAAGAACAGCCTGTGGTCTTGAGGGGCATCTAAATTCAAAACAACAACAGCAACGGGGCATCTAAATTCAAAACAACAACAACAAGAGGGGCATCTAAATTCAAAACAACAACCACAGCAGCAGCAGCAGACAATCTGACAGGTTACAGTATCTACTTCCATAACAGGCTTGAACAGTAGTGTTAGGTCCACATCCTCAAATAAAGCCAATAGATTTTGTGGCTTTAATCCAATTAATTTTTTAAAATGTCCTATAAAACATATAACCTATATAGTGCAATTAATTTTTTGGGGGGGAATTTGTATCTAACTCTAAAAAATACAATATATATATTAGTTATAAATGTTTACAATATTGACCTAACTCTGATTCTACTTTAGTTGTCTTTAACCAATTTTGTGGCTTTGTTTTAGCTGTGTTTGGCTAATCTTTGAATAACATGTAGTCATTTATCAAGCAGGTAAAAGTTGCAGTTTCTGACTACCGGTTAGTTCTGACCAGGGTCTGTTGACTGTCCATGAAACAGATTAAATCCTGACCAGTCCCAGAGGAAGACAATGGACTCGTTTTATAAAGATGTCTGAGTTCTTCTGCTTAGATAAATGATCTGAATCTGTAGTGTAAGCCTTTTTGTCACCGTGATTTTTACCTCGCCCTGCCGTGTTATATGGTCCCATATTAGCTGTTCACTTTCTAATCCATTATTAAAATGATTGAAACTTTAACCAGAGAGGCTGTGAGGAGAAAAGAGAAGTCTTTATTATAATCCAGCTCCCAGGAGTAATAAAACACTCTTGTCATGTGTGTTTCCGAGCCTGTGGGCGAGAAGAACGTCCAGTGCGGAGCATGGGAGGACAGAAATGTAAAGAAGAAACGCCACACTTTTAAATAAACGAGCTGGAGAAGGGCAGGACTTCTCCCTGATGCTTTCTGCGTCCATTTACTTGTCAGAAGTGATTAAAAGGCTTCATCCCGTCCACTAGCAGTGGTGTGCTGGTTCCCCTCCCTCAGGAAACCAGAGTCACATACATTAGCCAAATTGCAGGATTTCTGCTCCCCTGTGATCCAGAGAACAGACAGAGATCCTCAGGCAGCTTCATTGAACTCCTCCTCTGAGAGTAGAGGTGACCCCAGATTTTTGCTTTCTGCCCATACACACTCTGAAACATCCATTTAAATAATTTTACCCCAGCAGACCAGGTGTAAAATTAACTCCTCTTCATACTTTTACTCTCCAAAGGTCGTGCGTTAATGTCACTCTCTGCTTTAATGCCCATGTTTTATCTGTTTGAGCCGGTGCAGAGGCAGAGGAAGTTCATTTACATCAATACTCTTCCCACATTTCCATCTCTGCTCCACAGAGAAACCTTGTCATTTTAATGCTCCCACATGAAGTTGTAGACGTTGTAATGTGTTTCACAGCTTGTTCAAAATGTGATCACCACACAGAAAAAGCCATAATGATAAAAACTCCACAGAGTGGTTCACAGTAGCATCACATCACTGAACTATAAAGGGCAGTATGACTACATTAAAAGTCTAATCATTATGAGAAATATTTAACACTGTATCTGGACTTTTTTCTCTGTACAGTACATTTTTCAGCTGCCTTATAATCTGGCCAACTTTGAGCTATTTTAACTATTTTTGTTTGACTGAGGTATTTCAACTAGTGAAGCAGTTTTAGCTTTTTCACTAGTACAATAGAAATATACAATGTTTGTCTTTGA